ACAGCAACTCTAACCAGCTTCATGACTCTCCCGTGGATAAAATTGCTTGGAAGCATCTTTACTTTTCATTTCTGAGATGCATTTTCTTTTCCAAGAATCTTAGAGCAGAGTCCAAGGTGATGCTTTGTTTCTCAGCAGAAGTATCTACCTTTTTTTCCCTGCTAAGCATTAGGTCTGCAATCTCACTTCCCTGTTCTCTGGAGGTCTAGATAAGCCTATTCCTGGCACATGCAGATTTCAGAGAAGCAATGAGGCAATGAATCTTCAGCATCTATCTATGGAGGACGTTAAATCCAGTACTTATTTGCCTACCAAGACAGATTCTCCTAAGAAAGTTGTTGGAAAAAATGGTCAGACACAAACCATTTTTTCATCTCTTAAACATGAAGCAAACAGACAGAGAACACATACAGTCCACATAGCCACTGCTAACCAAAAATCTCTATATATGCAAGTATGTACCCATTGTGGAATATGAGCATGGATGAGCATCAAAAGGAAAAGCCAGATCTACACAGTAAATTAAGAAACAGGTGAGAAATACTGAAATCTTTTTCCTGAGCTACTCTGAAGTTTTAAAAGGACAGTCACTGTCATGGGAACTTTCACACTGCTTATCAATTAATTGGTAGCTTTGTGTACAAGCCTGAAGCCACATTTAAACCACAAGCCTAATTTTCAAACATATCTAGTCATTCTTTAGGAGTATTTTCTTCATAACAAATACTTCAACTTAGAAAGGTAAACTTTATCAAGACACATTTTTATTGCATTATCTACTATCCAGTTGCTTTTTTTTAAAGTAGAACACATAATAACTATGCGCACCTTTTTTTCTTTTTTCAACTACTTGGTTGTTAAATTCTGTTTTTCATCCTGCAAGGTGTCAAATACTATAAATAAGACAGGACCTATCATTAGCAAGAGGCATTTAATAAAAGTAACTGCTAAACCAAACGATACCTGTAAACACCTCAAGACAAATTACTACAGGACTGAAACACTGCACTGAAAGCATTAAGATATTATCAGTCCTAGCAGTATTCCTCATAGTGGCTGAATATTGCTACATCAAAATTACACAATACTGGGCCCCTTTTTGTAAGTGTGTCATAATTAAAGTTTTCCTAAATTCATACTGAAACCTGGTAATGACCTCAGTCACTGCTTAGAGAAGACCAGGCAGTGACAACATCCATTTTAAGCAGTATTTCTTTTCACCCTGCTAAATAAAGCACAAAAGGCAACCACATCTTGTAAGCTACCGAGCATGTGACCTTGTATCAAATTTTAACAGAAATTACCTAACAAGCTCCTAAGAATTAAGGATGCATGATCCTGATTGAGTAAATATTTTTTTAAGGGTAAGAGAACAACACCAAGCCCTTAACATCAGACTGCTGAAAAACAGAAGTTCTCTATTTATTATCAAAACAAGCACAGGACAAGTGGTACAGAGGCTAGGTATACTTTCTTTCAAATATACTTAATTTCCTTGTGAGACAGTCCTTAGTAAAAACACTTGGAAAGATAATTTTCCACTGATTCTACAGATTGCTGTTATGAATTCACAATTTAAACCAAAACAGACTAAGCAAGGATTTTACTTGTCTGTCTGCCTATTTTAGAGAGGCACCAAAAAAAGAAAATCTCAGTCACTAGTTTGGACTGATTTTAAAACTGAGAGGAATAACAACCATTTGATTTAGTAATCTTATGACTTATCAGTTTGTTCTTCAACAATCTCAATTAATGCTGAAAGTATATAATAAACTTAAGTCAAAATTTATTTATAGTCTTCATCTCAACCTAATTCCCAAGTTACATGTAATGGAACACCTATTAATGGAATTTGACACCAATTAAACAGGGATAAGAAAAGCTCTCCCTTTTGGTTCTCCCCTGCAAGAGCCAAAAGGAATCTGATGCCTAATACCTACCAGTCAGGATTTATATCAAGGAGCTGGCAAGAGTTACCAGCTCCTATCTAGCATGCCATATAATCAATTTCTTAGTGCATTTAATTTTAAATTAGAGCCTACTTGATGTGCAGGTTGTTTCTTCAGCTTTAACAGCTTTTATTCCACACAGCAAATTTGGTGCAGAGAGCTAAATTGCAACGACTTGGCTAATTCTGTGTACTTCAAAGCCCAAAAAAGTTTTTTTACTCCTTTTTCACTACAGGGATCGCAGCATGTATTCTCCTTTCCAACAGGCTTCAGGAAATGCAAGAGGGATGAGCAGAGACTGGGGATGGCACAGAAGCACACAATGACCCTGGCTGGGACCTCAGGAGCTCCTGAGCAGTGCCAGGCTGGCAGACAGTGACTCCAAACAGTGACTCCAGCACACCCAGCCTGCAGCCCCCAGCCACCACGGGCCAAGCAGTGACACACAAGGACCCCAACCTGCAGGCTCTGCCACCTGTGCTTCATCACATGCTCAAACACAGCCATTCTGGCAGAAGCTGTCTTTCCAGGTGGGAAAAATGGGACTTGGTGAGTACAGGCACCAGGTCAGAGGCCATGACATTCACTGTATTTTTCTCTCAGGGCACTTGTAACCAGCATCCCTGTCTAGCAGTCTGGCTGCTGTCAGCCACCCCTAACATGGGGAAAAATTCAAGAACTGTAACATAAAAAAAGCTGTCACTTGTCTAAAGATCACATCCCTTTTCCAGTTGCTACAGTTTTAAAAATACAATAAACAATGAAACAATAGTAACTTTCATTTTCAAAAGCTGAGGAAAATAGCCTCTGGTTTGGTAGATGTACCAGGGAAAAAACCTTATTTTTTCTTATAGCCTTTGACTTATTTTTAAGTACATACTTCTATGTACTTCTGGAAGTACACAAAGTGTGGCTTTTTTATCAAAAGCAGCCAAAGCTAGGATAAAAAACATCCAGAGCTATCTACTTGAGCTGAAGTGTCTGTGTTGAAGGGCACAATCCACGCTGTGCCTTCATAAACACTGATTTTATCAGATCCACAGGGACTTTAAGTAAAATCGAGTATTTAGATACACATAAATGTAAATTAAAATGAAAACTAGTGGGTTTGAGGGAGGGGTTTTGACAAGAATTAGTCAGTCTAAATTTTACTGAGTTGAAGCTTCACATCTCAAAGGGGGCATACAAAGCATGCATGCCCCCTTTGTCTACCATTGAAGATTTTATGTTATAAACACTTAAGCATCATGGTTTCTCTGAAACTCTGAGCAAAAAGACACTATATTAGAAACAGCCTCGATCAAATTGTTTTCCCATTAGCGATTTATTTCATAAGCCAATCTGATTTATTTCATGTGCCAATCTGATGGGGGGAAAGCAACCTATAAAAAAGAAAATTATATAATATTGCATAGTATAGTATCATATAAGGAGCTTTGCTCTCTACAAGCCAACTAGCTGCTTTAGTCTGATTTAAAAACAGGAACCAGTAATACAAGCATCTTCCCAAAAAAAGTCACAAGCTTTTTATTCAATAAATATATTTTACAAGTTCTTTTTTCTTGCTTGCATAGTCTTATTCTTCATTCTCCGCAAGGGTTAACAATCATTTATGACCTATCCAATAGCTTACTCTAGAACACTTGACTCCTACTCCTCTGAAGTTTATTTTAAAGCATCTCTACAAAGCTTATGGGGAAATAGCATAAAATGTCATCTGGATTGTACAGTCCTTTGAAAAAGGCTATCTCTAAGTGTTATACAGTAAGATCTACATTATTAAAAACTAAGTTACAAGAAGTAACCATTAATAAAAGTCAGTTTACAGCTGCTCAAATACACACTGGCCCCCACCATAAGGTAATTTTAAAAATAAATACCTGATGCAGAGTCAGTAATCTAATCAATTACCAGAAAGCAGAGACAACCACTTGTTACATTGAATAAAAAATAGCTTTTAAGGCATTGAAGATTTTTCAACAGAAGTGAAGATATTTATTATAATTAATCTCACTGTTCTATCATGGGTGAATAATGAGCATTAAAATGACCCTTCTGTTTTCATACTGAGTTCTACTAGCCCATGCTCTATCAAATACTCTTAATATGAGGATGTGTAATGGTCTCAAAGCAGCATCTCACTGGAGACTGTGAGGGCTTTTCCCCACCTTTCCCTTTTAAGCCTTTTGGTTTTCACCACTTCAGTTAAGAGAGCAGCACCAGCAAGCTGTCCAAGAACAATTCACCATTTAAGCAGTGCAGTGTGTGCCAGCCAGCCTCATACAAATGCAGGCATCTCCCAGTTACACCTGAATTTCTTAGTTTAGGAGTGTACTACAGGAAAAAAACCAAACAAACAAACTGCTAGGGAAACAACTCCAGTACATGTACAGGACGTGGCTAATTGACATCTTCCCCATCACGACAAGCCAAAGCTCTGTCAGCTGCTCTAGACAGCAATAAAACACAGCTCACCTGGCAGCTGGGAGGGACAGGGTAAGAGCAGCAGTTACATCAATGCTACACTAGTAAACTACAAGGCTGAAGTTTGAGAGACAGAAAAATCCATGTATTTTGCTTTTAGTAAACCTGAAAAATGGTGAATACAATAGACCCTAAAAATTGACACTTGAATATACCTCAATACTAAGGAACAAAAATTACACTTCTAAGATATTTCCCATTATTTACTCCTGTCACACTGCATCTAAAACACACAAGTGTCATTGGCAATGTATGCAGCTGAGTACCAAAACAAAGAACTCTCTTTGGAACAGTATAGAATGCTTTTCAAATCTCTCTTTTCATGGTTAAAGTATTTTAAACCTTTCATTGAGACCAAAGAACAAAGATTTTAACTGTCTTAACTAGTACTTCTAATTAAAGCACTCTTTTAATAAGACAACATCCAAATTAATTTTGTGTTTCTCCCCAACACAACATGCAGTTTAAATCTGGCTTCCTATCACCAACTGCTTACTTAATGAATAACACAAAGGCAAGTAGGTATAGTTTCAAACACATCACACCTAGGAAGAAATGTGCACTTACCAAGTGAACATAAGGCACAAAGTATCCAAAAAGTGCAGCTGGAATCCCTAAAGCCCAGATACGGTAACTGAGAACTTTGAAAACGGAGAAATTACAAATCTTTTTCGCAGGAGGTAATTTGAATTTTCCCTTCTTTCCTCCCTCCTTGTCTTTGGTGTTGGGAACAAGAGGTTTGTATGTAAATCCAGCCAGGAACAGAACAAACATAAGGATGCAGAGGACCCTCAAGGTGTTGAACAGGTCGACAGAGTCGATGAGGACCCTCAGGAGGAAGGGCAGCGTCACTGTGAACAAGCTGCTGCCCGCGGTGACAATGCCATTCACCAGCCCAAGGCGCTTCTTGAAGTAGTGCCCCAGAATGACCAGGGACGGCTGGTAGGCAAACGAGCAGCCACAGGCAAACACGATCCCGTAGGTGAAATACAGAGGTTCAATAGTGCACCTAAAAAAAAGAACAGATCATTAGGGTTTGGTAGGGCAGTGGATGCTCATTCACCTGGACGTGACAACAAAACAGCTTCACAATCAATCAATCCATCAACGCAACTCACTAGTGTAAATAAGGGTTTGTATATACTTATAGTTGAATAGCACTGTATCAGCTTAATTCAGCAACTATTCTCTGTCCTTCCACTGAAAAATTTTACAGAATTCACTGAACAGGTAAAAAAAGAAAAATTAAATTCAATTATAATTACATCAAACAGTGTGGCTAAAAAAAGTTTTAAAAACCACTGTCAGGGCAAATTAGCCAAATATAAGTTCAACTATTGCTGGGTTTTTGGTAAAAGAAAATTGTACTGTTTTGATTTACACATTTCTTCACTATTCTAGCAGTTCAAATGTAATACTGAACTCTCCTCATGAACCCAGAAATATCAAGTAAACAGCTTGTTATGAAAATAAAGTAACAAATATGGCAAATATCATTAATACTGAAAAATAAAATATTTAAATACTGACAAAGTTTTGTAATTATTAAAAAATGAAAAAAATTATAAATTAAAATTAAAAGTTAAAAATTATAGACTCTTTAGGTATTAATTTTTTAGACAAATAGTCTCCTTTTGAATAAATATTTTAAATTCAGTGGTTTGACACATATATTGAATATATTAAGAAAGAACTATAAAAATTGTTAATAAGGAATTAAACATTTCATCTCAAAGTAAGGTGGATCTTCATCATAAAGTTCACTATTATTACCATTTATTCTACAACTGAAATAAAGCACAGCCATTGTAATTGATCACAAACATGTGACATTAATAAAAAGTACTTGTGCAAGAAATGTTAAAGGTATGAACTAACAGCCTCAGTATAATTAACTAAATTAGTGCTGTAGTACTAGTTAGTGAAAGAAAACACTTTTTTAGATGGAGGCAGGGTGCAAGAAATTTATATGAGTTTCCTGAGGCGGCACACCAGAGTTTATATTTTTAATGTTATGTTTACAATGAACCCTCACCTCTTGTTTTATCAGTTAACACCTGCATTTAAAGCACATCTGGAAAACAATTAATATTTTTAACTCTAACTTTTTTTAAGGAGCATGGACGCTTCATGCGGTGCTTTTCATCACAGGATGCAACCTGCCAGCACCACTCTGTAAAAAATACGATTGCACAAGCTCCCTATGCAAGAACTTCTTAGGAAACAGTATTTGACTAACCAAGGTCTGACTCCAGGAACTCTGGGTTTGTGTATTATAGTGAAAAATAATTATTTGTGTAACATAATATTGTTACTTTCTATATTAAACTATCCATTTCTGAAACTGATGATACACAACATAAGCCAGCAGAAATAACAAAAGGGGGAAAGACTTATTACCTTTATTAATGGAAAATAACCACGAGAAATTAAACCAGAAGTTACAAAGTGAGAGGAGTAACATCAAACAGTGAAGAGACTGAACTTCTGCTTCCACTTGTAAATTCACTATGCAACACCACAATTCACTCAAAGAGTCTGCAGCACAACATGCATATTAAAATATTGTCCTGCATTATAAACACTTACATCTCAATTTCCTAAGACATAAAATTTATATTAAGAAATTAGTGCAATGCAAAAGCAGTAGATCATAGTAACATTGGCCTGCTTTACAATATTTTACTTCCAGAACGCTGACTTCTGCGTTTGAACTACAGTCCTTTGATGAACTGATAACATCACAGGCATAAATCATTTTAGTGTGAGTAACATAATGAAACACCAAGTATGCACAGCAACCTGGCATGTACACTTACAAGAGTTCACCTCTCAAAGTGCTCTTCAATGTTTAGTTAAGCTGAAATATTTTTAAAGCCTTTACAAAACAACTTGCTCTTGCATGTCTCTTCTGTGCCCTTGTGCCACTGGGTATCAGACAAACACAAGAATGATCTTTATCTAATGACAAGGGTGCTTTAGTATTCATCACTCAACATACTACTAGGAAGCAGGGAGGAAGAAAGACATTTCCAAGACATTTTTTAGTTTGTACCTCACATTTAGTAAAAAGCTTCTTAAAACATATCAAGAAGTGGGGGTTTTGTTTGTTTGTTTAATAAAATTAATTAAGCCAAATCTTTGAATCAGGATTAACCATTCAGATCACAGCAGCTCACATCCATCTGATTCAGAGTACAAGCACAGAAAAGACATTTTCACAAGCTTTTTGCCTGTATAAATACATTTGCACCTAAGTGGAAAGCTGTTCTAAATGTAGCTTGATTGTTCCTATACTTATTCTGCTAAGGGTGGGGAAAAAATAATAGTCTGAGAACTAGTGGTAACTGGATTATTTTCCTGTTACTTTTTACACCCTACCTTCACTAACCAATTTCTGACAGTGACTAAACTAAGTAAATTCCCTGTTTCCTCATCTTCTATCGGGTGCATGCAACAAATCAGTTGCTCTTGAATTTCTTAAGATTTACTCATGCAAATGAAAAATTAAGAAACATACAAGTTAATTGTAAACTAGAAGAAAAAAAACCCAAAACAAATAAGCTTTAAATATAATCAATATACCAAGGTTTTCTCTATCTCCATGTTTGGCAACTGGACCAGTAAGAAGAGAATAAAATATCAAATTTCACTAGAATTTTAACAGCTTCCTGGAGGCTCTACTGTGTTTTTATCACTATTAAAACTTTCAAAAGAAAATTAAGGGGACAGGGCAGGATGGCAAGACAACAACAACGTTTATGTACCTGTTAAAACACAATATACATCAAGCAAAAATGTAAGTTTATCCTGGACAATGCTGTTGATCTTATAGCACTAGTCTTGCTGTTGATATATTTATACAGAGTAGTTCCTGTTAAATAGGGACTCTTGTTTCTATTTATAAACATTATGTTTTTAAAAATACTTTTTAAGTTGAAAGTTCACAAGTCATAGTTTGAAAGACAAAACCAAACCCCAATAAAACAAATTTCCTAAAGATAACGTAAAGTAGCAATGTTTAACCCTTCTGTTGATTAGATCAACATTAGAACACTAAAAAATTTATAAAATACTTTGGAAGTTACAAATTTAAGTTTTTTACCTTACAAAAGAACTTGAAAGGAGTCCAACAAGCCCTACTGCAGCTCCAATAACAGCTACTTTTCGACAACCAAACAGGTCTGTGAAAATGCTGACTATTGGGGAGCAGAAGAAGACCATTCCCATGGAAAGAGAGCTCACCCATGCTGCAAAATAGAAAAAAAAAAGAAACATTTTAGAAGGCCAAGGAATTTCAGCTTTCAGTTGATATTTGTTTTCACCTAGGATTTTACATTGCTGAACTAAAATTGGGTAACTATTTTAAAAACATTTAAATACATCTTAAAATGTATGTACCTAACATAGCGAAAAACCTAACAATTTACATAATCAAATAATTTAGATTTTATCAGCTCAAAAAATGCAATTAACTTTTTTGTAGCTGTTACTCCTACTTTTTTTTTTTTTATAAGCACAAAAATATTTCTGTAGTAACTAAAATAATATTCAAACTGACACCTAGGTCATTAAAGATACCTTTGAGGATCCATATCCATTCTGACATCAGTTAGTTCATTTCACTTGACTTAATACTAGACCTTAATGACTTTAAACAGGTACATTTGCTGAAAAAAGAGTAATAATTTTTAAACTTCATTACTACATGTAGATCATACTGAACATCCATAACGAGTAATCAATATCTTTTAGACTGTAATATAAACATTAGGAATGTGATTTTACTTTAGACTAAACAAACTTGAATTAGTAAAACCACTTTCATATATAATGGGAGAATTTCACTACTTTTGATACTTCTTGAGCTTTACAGACATTGTGAAAACTGTATTTGGTTTATTAGATCATTGTATTTGATTCAGGTGAATCCACTACAGTTTCAGCCACAAGTGGGGTTTTTTAGCACAGCTAGTAGTTACAACTAATATGTTTGATATATATAGTAACATATATATTGGAAATGTCCCCGCCTATATGGGAGGAAAAAAAATGGTCTAAACAGGAAGTGGGAAAAGCTGCTAATTCAAAATGAACTGGAAAAAATATTTTAGCTTCATTTCTAATTGTACAGAAGACAGGATAACTCTTTCAATCTGAAAGAGTTTTAAATTTTTGTAAATGGTATTTTCTTTAGAATATCTTTCCTAAACACAACAATTGTGATTCAGTGACGAAGGCAAACAAAATGACCTGGAAAAGCATATAACCACAGGACTAAATAAAATATATTTGCAAGTAGATCTACCACTACCAAGGCTTAGGAGATATGTTGTTGAAGTGCCAATTGACACATTGACTAAGACTAAAGACAGAAACCAACAAGCAAAAAGAGTTTACAATGTAAATGAAAGACAAGAGAATAGATAGCTAGAGATAACCAGAAATGAGTACAAGAACAAAACCTTTATTTTAGGGCAAACAATGCTTTCAACGAACCATGGCCTAAGTGTCTGGGGAAGGGAGGGAGGGATGTGTGCTACTGGGATTTTTTGATCATGTGATAAAATAGCAGAGTCTCAAGGCACAATGTAAAGAGTGAGGTATTTCCATGGCCATTTCCTGTGTAGGACTACCCCATATACAATAGCCCTGCGTCCTTGCACCTCTGCAGCAAAAACTCAAGCTGTATGAAGGGACAGCACAAGAGACTAGGAGGAACGAAGACCCCATGGCACTGCCTGAACTGCCAAGACCAAGTTTATGAAAGGTCCAGTCCTTCTCTGCAGTAGAGGAATGCTCCAAGAGCACCTTGGGTGTGGCAGGCCATAACTCCTCTGAGATCTGTCCCCTGTTACAGCCCCCTTGACTACTGATGGGACAAGACATTACACAAACCACAGTTTGTGAGCAGGAGTCTAAGGGAGGAGATGGTCTCATACAGCCTGGAGACCAGCCAGTTACAAAGCTTCTAAGAACTCCAACTTCTACAAGACTCCTTATCCTTCTACTTATCTTTCCCAGAGTGAGCCTGCAGTTTTACTGTCCAAAGGAAACTGCAAACACCAGGGGACAGAATCCATTTCAGCCTGTCATCTTCCCAAATAAATGGTGGCTACACCACCATGAACAGTCCTCAGGACCTCTACATGATTTGCAGGGCAGCACTAAGAATCAGAGTCCCCCTCCTGCAAGGCCAAGAGGCAGCTAAGCCTTGAGAAGCATCCATCACAAATTTCACAGGGTATGAAGGTACCAAGAAATGGCTGAACCTCCTGTCACCCTTCCTGCCCAGGTACAAAAAGATAAAAAGGCCACAGACACGAGACAAGCCCACCAGAGATGACTGGTTTTGAGAATCCAATCTCACGTGGACCCTATTCATGGAGACAAAACAGGCAAAGAAAGGTGGCATCTGAAACAGAGCTTCAATAGCTTGCATCAAGTAAGAGACTAGATTACTTTAGAGCTACAGGCTGAGATTTTATTTCCATGCTCCTTAGTGAATTCAAGGTTTACAGTGTTTTTTAATGGCCTATACAGCTAATAAAATAATTGGAATGTTAAAGGGTGAAGTGAAGATGTTCAGCTCAAATTAAACTAACAACATGTTGATTTTGCCTCTTTGTGCTTCCAGGTACTCATGAAAAAACTACGCCTTTTTTATCAGTTGGTTCTCTAGTCTTATTATTACAATAAAGACAGGGCAGAGCCTAAAGGAGAAGGTTTCCACTGGTTTTCAACATAACAGACAGGTAAGATAAATGATGATGCCTTATCTGAAGCATTTCAGAATGGAATGTCATGTGGGAATCAGTCGCACTGCAGAAGTGGGAGATCACACTGTACCACTTATCTACCTAAGGAAAACTGGAGCCCTTTAAATTACTACTTCAGGTTAGTAAAGTTGCTCTCATTAGCCTACAGAAATGTAATTTAGAGACGTGGTTGGCATGTCTTGTATGAACAGCTTTATTATTTATTGAAAAGAATATTCTTGAAGTTAGGCTTCACCTCTATACATAGATCAAGAAAATGTACTGCCTTCTTCCTTTGTGAAGAAACCTTGCACCAAAAATAAACAGAAACAGTACATGAATAAATGTACTGTACTTTATATGCCCCAATGCAAATAATTCTTGCTGTGATATCTTCATTCTATAAAGAAATTTGTGGCTTTAAAATATATTCAATAGATCCCAGCAATTTTTGATCTCACTTTAAGTAAGTTTTCAAGTACCCTTACACTTTTTCATGCAGTATGAAAAATGCACATTGAATTGTCTTCCACATTTTTTCAAACAGATGTTACAACTGTCCTAAGTAATAAAAAAAATTACAAGTGCAGCTTGCCAGAATACTGAGACCTCTCTAGAGCAGTTATTACATATTAATTAAAGTATTTCTCCTCCAGGCTACTGGCTGCCTTCCTGGCACAAGCTGGCCATACTCCAGAGCTGCTAATTCAGATACTAATACAGCACCTAATTGCTACATATAACTGCATTCATATTCATACACAAAACATTTTGATTGCTATAGAAGAAAACCTATTTCTACTTTAAGGACTTAAATATTCCTTAAGGCATAGAAAGTTAAGAAATACCTCCTCAAAACATGTAATTCTCTGTAGATTAACAATTCCCAGGCTTCCCTAGAAGATGGAAAAGTAGTCATCCTTAAGATAAATGTATCAGACCAGAGAGCAGCTGTACTGAAAAGTCTGTTTGTTTGTTCTGTGCCAGTGAAACACATAATGGATTACAAAAACTCAAAACTTTATTATAACTAGAATTGCTCAAACATTAAAGTCACAGCTACATGTTCTTTCCTGATCAGTTCACTGAAAATCTGAACATATATTCTGATATTTCTTTAATTATTTCCTCAGTACAAAAGTCTACAGCAATGCAACTATACCATGTACTCCAAAAATATGCTGCTGTTCTACCACGATGCTTTAAAAATTAAATAACTATTATTTTAAATAGTGTCTTTACAATAAATATAGTATCTAATATCTGAGCACTCTAAGAATTCCCACTGTCACAGTTAGATTACACAATACATATTTATCTGCCAAATTATAAACCAAGCTATTAAATGTTTTAGTTCATTTTTTAGAGTTGTAAATCATTTTATGATTTACAGCACAACTAAAAAGAAAACATTATTATCTTGTTCTATTGGAATGCTTTATCATGCATAAATTTAAATAAAGGCTACTTGTCCAAAACATTCTTGTTTAAAATCAAATTTTTCTAAGCATTACAATAAGGAACTTAGCAGTTCTATCCTCAAGTGCCTTTCAAGGGATTGGCTCAACACAGTAGTAACACCCTTCATTCTTTAACAAGCTTCAGGATGGTGGTTGTTTTTAATATTTTCCCTTGAGATTGTTGTGGTTGAGAAAGGGAACAAAATGCTGCTGTCTAGAAGACAAGCAATGTGAGGCAAGAAAAATAAAGGCACTTAGTAACTTCTAAAAGCCCAATAAGCTTGAATAATATTTAGCTTTCACTAAGTTATTAGTTACAATTTATGGAAGCATAAGGAAGCCTGTATGTACTCTCCCAGCCTCAAACCACTAACAGCTGAGAGGCTTTGTAAGCCCTTTATTATTTGTTTTTCTTTATACATAAATTTGGACATTACTTCTTTTTCCACTGTATTTTTCAATATTCTGGCAATTTCTCCTTCATGAACTGCCAAGTTTCTCTGGAACACTGGTGTATTTTCAGTATCCACAACTTCTTACAGCAAAAAACTCCATAATTTAAATATGGAATGAGAAAAAGACCCATACTTCTATTATGGCCATTTACACAGATATTCTTTTCAGCAAAGCATAAGATTGACTGCCATAAAAAGATTTGTTGTGAGAATAGTTTGGGAATTTGAGAGATCCTATTCTGGAGGAAACAAAAGTGGTTTCTGAAAGTTATTTCTGGAAATAATTTGCTTGTTTTCAGCTACTATTAATAATTCCTTGCCTGTTAAATCACATTTAGATGGCATTTAATTTTTAAAACAACAAGGTAATTGCAATGCCATGTAGATCAAAGATAGGATTCTGGGCTAAATCAGTCTCTGATCACCACAAAGTACTAGCATGCTTTTTCCCTGGCTACATCCTCCCAACATCCAGCAATAAGCAGTTTCAAAACCACCTAAGCAGAATGTTGCATCTAACCATTCAACGAGAACATTTAGTTCCATCAATATTACTTTGGCTTCTCTGCTTTTGTTG